GATCAGTGCGCTTCGTTTGAAAGCATACACGATAATGTATGCTATTGAACATTTCTTATTTATTCGCTGGGCTAGGAATGATTCACTGGTTGCTGTAAAAATAGTACACTTGTCGATACAACGGTAGAACGAAATACAGCAGAGCTTATTAGCGAAAGCTGAAAGTCTAAAAAACAAATATTTTAAAAAGGTCCGTACAAGTATATAATGCATAAGCTACAGAAACAGATTAGCGCATAGAAGAATGAAGTATTTATATAGATAATGTAATGTTTATTTATCGTATCCATACACTAGTCAACCGAGTCTCGACGGGTTAATCGATAAGGTATAGCACTGAACGCAATAAGAAAAGGGGATTTTAGTTTCTGTTAATGAGTTGCTTTTTTATTTAGCATCGTGACGAAAATACCAAATTAATGCTGAAATACTAAAAACAAATGTATACAAATATCATATGAACTCACTGAACTATTGCAACGAAAAAGTGAAAAACATTTGATTCGATACAGCATTAAGTATTCAGTAAAACAATTGACGGACTTTTCATTAACTAGTTCATCCATCACTAGTATATTTTCATATCCTTTTTATCTTGAATACTCTTTTTAATTTGTGACAGGCTTTTACATATTTTTAATACTACACAAAAATTTCTCAGCACAATATATCGATCCACTTTCAGCTGTCTGTTAGTGTCGCTGCTGTATGCTAAATTTACCTTTTTCGAAATACCCAATAAAGTAGGAGTAAAATACGCACCATTCGCAATTTACCCATTACAGGACGGAATTTACAGTGTCTAACTCTTGTTCTTCAACTAGTAAGCCAGTTGGTTTCGTTTCTTGTTTTTCTGGAATTTCCCCTCAACTAATCATCTATGCAACCACTTTATCAAATAATCCATTTTAAAGGCAAAAGAAAAAAACATTTCTTCTTAAAAATCAATTCATTGAAATAAAGAAATACATTTCTTTATTTTCCTTTATTTAGATCATCCATGGGTTCATCACGTTCAGCATTAATTAGTTCAAGGAATAGTGTTCAAGATTGTCTTAATCCAATTTGTGAAAATGATTGTGATCAACCTTCAGATTTTTTTAATGAAAATCTCTTCAGTCATTTATAAACTACTTCTATTCGAATGAATGATTCTCAATTAAAGTCGCCAATGGCTCTTCAAAATGAGACTCAATCATCAATTAGTAGTCAAAGATTTACCGATGATAGTAGTATGCAAAAAACAAATGAACTATATGCGTTTAATAGTTGCTTGTAAGCGGAAGAAATTGAACTTCACCCTGATCCACTTAATGAAAATACAATATCTAACTCCAGTCTCAAGCAAAAACGTAAACAGAGTCAATGATTATTTTCATCAATGACATCCAAAAGACAATCTAGCCGACTCGTAGCAAAGCGAATTCGTGTTTTTTTTAAACGATTTTAAAGACTCAATCATTGTTTTCTTGCCTTTTCTTTTTACTTGAATATCTCGTTTTTATATTTCCGATTTCATGTGTTAAACTTTGATAGCTGTCTATTATATTACAGAGGAGGAGATATTTTAGCACTTGATAAGAAATTCTTTGTCATATTTTACCTTTATCCAACTCACCTTTTATATGTTAAATTTTTTTCAAAACACATACAATTATTTCTTCACACGACCTTTTCACTCGAATGCTATCATCTATATTATTGAGGACCACCATAGAGTAGATAATAAACATATATATATATATGTGTTAACACTAAGTAAGTCATCTATATTATTGAAGAGCCGGATTACATAGATGATCGATATCTATAAAAACCATCAATGGTTAGATCATGAATAACTATTAGGACCAGGAATGGTTAGGATACCGTTAATTCCAAGGATGACTTTTGGCCATAGGTCGTGGATATTATGTGAAGAAACATCAATTAGATCGTGAATTATGCGATTATTGGCACATATAGTTTTCTATAGTAGAATATTACGTTTATTATCACGGTTATATTTTTTTAGGTTGACAGTGGCTGTTTATTTCGAAGTAAGCTTTATTTCTTTATATAGAAAAATTCATTTTTGCGATAGACTGATTTCCAGTTCAGATTTAGCAGCTATTCTATTCGTTTAATGCTTATTTTTTGCCTGACGCGGATAAATATTCAATGGATACCTAAATGTAAGTTTTCTTCTTTAAATATATTGCCTTCTTTCTGTTGTAGATCGATGCCGGTTTCCGATTTAGAAGTAAGTTTATTTTGTTTAACAAATGACTCTCTTCCTGTTTCGGACTAGAGTGAGATGCTAATTGTCATGTCACTTTATGAGCCAAAATAACTAGTTGTTTGTTTGCTGTGGATGAGTTCACAATCTTGATATGTAAGTAAGTTTATGATTTTTGTCAGTCCCTTTTTTTTAGGAAGGCTTACTCACGGGGTTTGATGTAAACAATATATTTTTCTTTCGTATCTAAAGAGGGAGCCCTAGGCAGTGATGCATGGTTTTCGAGTTGAGCTGCCATACATATGGTCGACTTCAGTGAGATAAGGAAAACCCCTGCAGGATGCCTTTCGTTAGTTCTTCCTTCGAAAGTTATCATTATGTTATCAAGATTTCAGTAAAATGCCGAGGAGGAAACGTTTGTAGCTGTCGAATTGGTTTGAGTTTGAGCCCTGTTTGTCAGATAGATCTTAGTGAAATATAAAAAGCTCGAAATGAACGATGGTTCATAAGTCTTCTGTAGAAATTTGCCGACTTTTTCTTAAATTTTAACCTATAGTGTAGCTGATATCAGTGAATTGGATGGGACTATTTCTATTTGAGATTTCATGAAGAGAAGAATTGATTCATCAGGGAAATGTCCCAAAAGGTTCATTTCACGAGAATGTATATTTCCTAGGGATAGTAAAGTTCACGGAAAATACCACATTTCATCATCCTTTTTCAGACACTAGTGGTATTTGTTGAACTTTGAAAACTCTGGAAAAGAGGTGTGCTTTTGAAGAAAACCTTTAGAACATTTCCCTGATAAGTCAGTTACTCTCTTCATGAAATCTCAAACAGAAATAGCCTCATTCAATTCACTGATATCAGCCACACTATAGGATAAAATTCAAGAAAGTGTCTGCAACTTTCTATAGAAGACATGAATCATCGCTCATTTGGAGCTTTTTATATTTCACTAAGATCTATCTGACAAACTGGGCTCAAACTCAAACCAATTCGACAGCTACAAACGTTTCTTCCTCGGCACTTCACTGAAATTTTGATCATATAAGGATAACTTTCGAAGGAAGAACTAACGAAACGCATCCTTCAGGGGTTTTCCTTATCTCACTGAAATCGACCATATGTACGGCAGCTCCACTCGAACACCATGCATCACTTCCAAGAGGTTTCTCATCAGATGAATATGATCCGGAAAGTTTTATACGAAACCATGTGTACGAAAACTTTTTTCCATTTACGAAAAAGAAGTTCTATACGGAACCTTTTTTCTACGAAACCTAAAAGGGATCTGACCGTGTGCCCGCACTCAGATCCTTTTTTGGTTCCGTAGAAAACCTTTTTTTTACAGTGTATGTTTCACGAGGAAGAAATTCGTCTGTCTGCTGTTGCTTCAATAAACGTAAATTTTATTGATCATTGAAGCCATGACAAAAATCGTCAAACTGGCGATGCGTATGTTTTTTATGTTTTCGTTCTTTCTGATGGGAGAGGAAGGACTCAAGTGGCTGCCTAGATGAAAATCAAACGCAAGTAGGAAAGAATAACAATAATAATAAGAAGAATGATGTAGATGTAAATCATTCGGCAGTTTTAAATTATTTTGTTTTTACGTAATTCTCGGAATTTTCGACCTTTCTATAATTCTATATGATGGTGAAAATGATCCAAATGATGGTGAATTTGATCGAAATGAATTATATTGTAACGGTCATCATCAGCAAGTTTACATCATTTGAGCCTCTGATTATAAATTCATAGTAATGATGGTATTATTAGTATTACTGGTGTTACTATGACAACATAAACGATTCCATAACCTAATAATCAGTACGTAGATGCAACATATATACCATGAATATCAAGTACCAAATACCAAGTGTCAATATTTAGTAGTGATATTAAATATGAATATACGGTAACAAATAGCTAATTAATTTAAAGTATAAATGAATGTAATGCGTTAACATTATATGTACGCTCAAGTCTTTAATACTGCAATTAGTACGAATTTCGAATGGATGTCTCAAATGATGTAAACTTGCTGATGATGACCGTTACAATATAATTCATTTAGATCAAATTCACCATCATTTAGATCATTTTCACCATCATATAGAATTATAGAAAGGTCGAAAATTCCGAGAATTACGTAAAAAACAAAATAATTTAAAACTACCGAATGATTTACATCTACATCATTCTTATTATTATTATTTACCTCGTACTCAAGCAAATTCATATTTCTGTAAGAATAACAATGCAATTAATAATTTTTTGAGTTTTTTTTGTTTGTTTGTTGTTGACAACTATATTTCTTATTGAAACTATGTAAAGTTTGCTCTTGAGTGTCAACCAAGGGAAAAAAAGCGGACATCGAATGTAAAAATAGAAAAGGTTTTATCTATTAAAATAATAATTTCGTCGTTTGCAAAATATAAAGTGATTAAAAGTTAGTCAACATCGAAGACAACGAGTGGCTGAAGGTTATATGGTCATTTGGGTCGATGAAAATATCAACATGATTAATGAAGATTGCCAAAATATAATAAAACATTTGCGAGATGTTGTAAACCAAGTGCATCCATGTACAACAGCTGAACAATGTATTCAACAGCTGGTTGACTATGAAGAGAGTATCTCATTTGTTATCTCATCTAGTACAATAGGACAACATTTGGTACCAGATATCCATGGCATGGCAACATTGAATACGATTTTTATATTTTCCGGCAACGAACCACAGCATCAGACATGGGTCCAAAATTGGCAAAAAATTGAAGGTGTTTATACCTTCATCGAGCACATTTGTAAAAGCTGGAAATGACAATAAAACAATACAATCAGGACAATATATCGGTGAGCGTTGTTGGTGTGAATGAAGAGGGTTCTAGCAAAAATCTTGATCAGCTACACCCTTCTGTTATGTACTCACAGATATTCAAGGGAATATTCCTTGAAATAGAACATGGTGAAAAGGCTGCACAAGACTACGTCAAGTATTGCCAACAAGAATACCAAGGCAATACGAAACAACTCAAAATTATAGATGAATTTCAACGAAATTATCAAGCATCAAGTGCGATTTGGTGGTATACAGGACATAACTTTACGTATAACTTGCTGAATGGCGCATTAAGAACACTCAATGGTGCTGTGTTGATTCAAATGGGCTTTTTCTTATCTGATTTACATCAACAAATCGAAAAATTGTATAAACAGCAAGTCAGTCAATATCATGAAAATTTTTTTACAGTCTTTCGAGGGCAAGGTCTATCGGAAGCTGATTTTGAAAAGCTCGCAAATAACAAAGATGGGTTTATTTCTTTCAATAACTTTTTATCCACCAGTACAAATCGCGATATTTCTCGGTGTTTTGCCGAAAGTAACTTAGGACCACCCAATGTGGTCAGTATTCTTTTTAAAATAATTATCGATCCCAAGGTCTCAACCACTCCATTCGCCTGCATTCGAGAAAAAAGTTGTTTCGAAGGAGAAGAGGAAATTCTCTTCTCCATACATACTGTTTTTCGAATCGGTGACACTCGGAAAATCGACAATAACATTTCGATTTTTGAAGTAGATTTGAAACTTACGTCAGATGATGACCCAGAACTTCGTCAATTAACTGACTACATAAGAAAAGAGGTCGACGGCACAGGATGGTATCGAATGGGTAAGCTACTGCGCAAAATAGGTCAATTCGGGAAGGCTGAATATTTATATCTCGCCTTACTCGAACAGACATCTAACGACATCGACAGAGTACTTATCTATAAAGAGCTCGGATGGTTGAAAGACGATCAAGGACAATACACAGAAGCACTTCAGTTTTACGACGAATCTCTGAAAATCTGCCAAGCAACTCTCCCAGAAGATGGTCCTCAGTTAGCTGCTATATACAGCAATACCGGTAGAGCATATACCAATATGGGTGACTACTCGAAAGCACTTGAATTCTACGAAAGATCACATGAAATATACGAAACATCTCTGCCTCTGAATGGTCACGATTTGGCTAATACTATCAGCAGGATCGGTGAAGTGTATGACAACATGGGTGAGTACTCAAAAGCACTTGAATTTTACGAAAAATCACATAAAATATGCGAAACTGTTTTGCCTTTGAATCATCCCCATTTTGCTCTTATTTTCAGCAAGATCGGTCAAGTATATAACAAATTGGGTGTCTCCTCCAAAGCGCTTGAATTCTTTGAAAAAGGTCTAGAAATCACAAAAAGAGCTCTGCCTCCAAATCATCCCTTATTGGCTGCTTCCTACAACAACATCGGTACAGCGTATTACAACATGAATGACTACTCAAAAGCACTCTCATTTCTAGAGATAGCGTTTGCTATCCAACAAAAATCACTTCCGTCAAACCATCCTCTAACTAAAACAACGAACGATAACATAGACTACATGAAGAAGAAAATGTAAAGTTTATTTTTCATGTACTCAACAAGCATCGCTCATTGGCATCGAAAGTCGATTCACTGTGCCCTAAACTGACAGTCAAGGGGGAACAAGCGAACTCCTGTACTATTTGGTACTTCAAAACTGCATTAAATTAATTGTTTAATTTTACTTAATAATAGTGCTAGTGCTATGAAACCCATTTTTAATAGTTTTTTTAAATAACGCCTGAGAGCACATCAATATAAAGGTATTGAATCACTATTTCTTTAGGCTAATTATGTTGAAAATGAAGATAAGCGTTTAGTTTGTCGCAGTACTATGGAGCTGCCCAGGACAATGATTCCCGAAGCAGTATTCCGTGAATTTCCGGCGAAAACCTGCAAGAAACTCGCTGTTCCCGACCGGAACCCACCGGGCATTGCCCGGGATTTGATGCAGGAATCCGGAAACCATATCCGGCTACCAGTTTTGACAGGTTCCTGTCGATTCCGACCGGAACCGGATCCGGTCACCGGAATACTGCTCCCATGAAATCTCCGGATTACCACAGAACCGACTGTTTCCGGGACCGGAATGCTCGACCTGGGTAGTTTTAATTTCGCTTTAATATGTAGAAGAACCCTACGAACGTTTTAAAAATGATTCACCTATAGCACTAGCTGCATTTTTTACTTATTTTGAAAAGCAGTGTTTAAAACGTGTGCCAATAAAATACTGAAACGCATCCCACCTAAAGTTTTGTACTAATAATTTTTGTGAATGTAATCTTTTTTCGTCTATTGTTTAGCGTGATATAGCAAGTTTAATAATCGAATCAAAAAACATCATCCCAACATTTGGTATTGTTTTGAATGCTTAATACGAGAAGAACCATTATTTCATCAACAATTAGGAAAACTAAATGTTAGTATTAAAAAAAACAAGTAGCAACATCTGTATTAGCCGATTACAATTATATTGTATTTTATCATACTTTTACTAATACTACGAGAAGAAACTTTCGATAAGACCATTTTTCGGTATTATTTATGCTGTTCGTATTAGGTCTCAACGGCCAAAACAGGCTAGCTTTCAATTCCTCAACGTATTGTATTAACAACCAGAATATATCAAAAGGTGCAAGTGTGGGCGTGACTGTGCATCATTTGACTCACACCCACACCCTCGAGTCATCCAATCAAGCCGCAAAGATAATAACAATCGTTTTTAATTTATTGTACTTTTAATTATATTTTTCCTTTCAAATAAATTTGCAGAAATTTCTGTGCACATTCACGTACCTATCCAGCAGTGGGCAGATTTCCAAAAAAGGTAACTTCCTAGCTAAAAATTCAAATTTCGGAAATTACACAAGAAAAAAAGTAAGCTTTTCGTAAATATCAGAAACTTTCGAAATTACTAAAATATTCTTTACCATATAGAGAAGTCAAAATTAAGTAATTTCCTGGAAATTTCGGAAATTACGGAAATTTCTATAAATTCTATATTAATATCGTATACGTTAAAGACTAAATATGTATATAGATTTGAAGACCCTACCACAAGAATAAAAATAATTTGTAGAAATTTCCGTAAATACCGTAATTTCCAGGTAATTACAGAAATTACCATAAATTCCTGTCATTCTCGGGGTAGGGTCTTCAAATCTATAAAGATATTTAGTCTTAAGCCTATACGATATTAATTTAGAA